GTCCCTCTTCTTTAGTCGATTTGATTTCAAAGTAACATACCGTCCTGGTTCCAAAAACGGCAAGGCTGACTCTCTTTCACGACAGTTTGACAGCTCACCCAGTCCTCGCACATCAGAGCCCATCCTTCCCTCAACTCTCATCGTTGCTCCTGTCCAGTGGGACATTATGACGGAGATTTCGGCTGCACAGCACGAGGAACAATCACCTCCAGAATGTCCTCCAAGTCGTACTTATGTGCCCACCCGTCTGCGTACTCGAGTGTTACAATGGGTGCATAATACTCCCAGCGCCGGTCATCCTGGCATTACAGCCACCACTCATCTCGTGACGAACCGGTTTTGGTGGCCGACCCTTCCAGCCGACGTAATCTCCTTCGTACACCAATGCAGCGCCTGCAACGTCTCTAAATCATCCCACCAGAAGCCTGCCGGATTACTCCAACCACTTCCAGTACCACAACGCCCATGGTCTCATATCGCCATCGATTTCGTTACTGATCTACCCCCATCGCAGAATTTTACCACCATCCTGACGGTGGTTGATCGATTTTCTAAAGCTTGCAGATTTATTCCGTTGGCCAAGCTTCCCACGGCTCTACAGACGGCGGAGGCATTGGTACAACAGGTGTTCAGGTTGTATGGATTACCCGAGGATATTGTGTCCGATAGGGGGCCTCAGTTCACTTCTCGGGTTTGGCAGGCTTTATGTGGGCAATTGAATATCAATGTCAGTTTAACGTCCGGCTATCATCCACAGGCCAACGGACAGGTAGAGAGGCTGAATCAGGAACTTACTCGCTTCTTACGAACCTACTGTCACCAGAATCAGCAAGATTGGAGTCATTTCCTGGTGTGGGCCGAATACGCCCAGAACTCTCTATGCAAGCCTTCTACAGGTTTGACCCCTTTCCAATGCATACTGGGTTATCAGCCGCCCCTATTCCCCTGGTCTGGGGAACCCACTGATCTACCGGCCATTGACGCTTGGCTACAGAGAAGCGAGGAGACTTGGAATAGTGCTCATGTTCATCTTCAACGTGCAGTTCGACGATTCAGAGAACAAGCGGACCGTCATCGGAGGAGGGGGCCCAACTATCAGCCAGGACAGTGGGTCTGGCTTTCATCCAGGAACCTTCGTCTCCATCTTCCCAGCAAGAAGTTGAGTCCCAGGTATGTGGGTCCATTCAAGATTCTCAGACAAATTACACCTGTGTCGTACCGTCTTGCATTACCTTCAACTTACCGTATATCTCCCACCTTCCATGTCTCTTTACTCAAACCCGCCGGAGCTCCGAGTGGAGAGAGGGACCAGGACGAGGCTGCGGAGACGAGCTCCCCTCCTATCATCATCGAGGGCGAGGAGGCTTACCGTGTGAAGGAAATTCTCGACTCAAGACGCCGAGGTCGGGAGTTACAGTATTTGATCGACTGGGAGGGGTATGGTCCTGAGGAGAGATCCTGGGTTAAGTCTCAGGATATACTGGACCCCACACTAATCTCCGAGTTCCATCAACAACACCCCACCAGACCTGCTCCAAGACCCCGTGGAAGACCTCGGCGTCGCACGGGTCCTCGCTTCAGGAGCCGCTCGCAGGAGGGGGGCTCTGTCATGAATCGCGCCTCCGTGGCTCTCTCCGCTCAACCCAGAGCTCCGTCTCCTGAGTACTGAACTCCATTTCCCATAAAGCCCCGTACCTAGGTCTAATCACCAACACAGGTGTTCCTCATTTACCTCTCCATATAAACTGCTCTCTGACTCTCTATCAGTGCGAAGTCTTGTTTTGCCCCGGCGACATTTCTGAGCGTTTCTATACTGATTATCTGGATTGCCCGTGTATCGACCCGTGACTGTTCTAGGACTTTGATTCTCTGTTTGCTGCCTGCCCCGACCCTTGCCTGTCTCTCTCTGGATTACGATTGTTGCCGCCTGTCCTGACCCCTGCCTGGTATTGTTTATGCTCTGGATTGCCTACTCCATATTGAATGCTGATCGTTGACTTCTGCCTGTCTTACTACTCTTAATAAACATATACTGCACATGGATCTGCACGCTTCTGACTCTGCTTCACAGATATCCATACATACATCCCTCATCCAATCATCCTTCTATTATGGATCAATATCATGGATAGAGACATAGAAAAGGGCTGCACAGTTTTGCAATAAAAAATAATAAATAAAATTATAAAATATTGTAATTGCAATTGAATTAGATTTGTGTGTGGCAGCTGCATGTACAATTTTTATTATTAATTATTATTAATAATGATAACAGTAATAATAATAATACAAATGAGCTTAAAATAAAAATGTAAAGGGTCTATTAAATTAAAAACAGGCCATATTTTTAATAAATAAACAAGTTATCATTCATAGTACACTAAATTTTAAACATTTTAAATTCCAACATTGTTTGTGAATGTCCAACAAAGTTAAATGTATATTCAAACCTGAAAAGTTGTCGTGGCTCCATTTTCATTTGATTATCATTGTACAATTGGCGGTTTAGTTGTAACACTGTGTTACAACTAACCCCGCTGTGTATTACATATTTTAACCCTAGCTAACAGTCGCTAGGAATTGCTGACATGTTTCAAAATGGTGCTATGTTTGAGCAAACAAGACAGTGATTAAGGCAATATAAAGTTAGATTTGGAAACATATACACCCAACTAAGAAACATGTACTTGAAAAAATGTACTTGCATGGTGTCAAAACACTCTTTGTCCAGTATCTTCACGAAATATAATCAAAACTTTACGCTAATTTGCGGCAGACCGTCTTCTGGCAGCAAGAGAAAAAGAGCGGAAAGACAACCTGCTTGATCCTGACTGACTATGTAAACGGTCCGTGTTACATTTAACCCCGCGTTAGTTTGTGCCCCGTGCTCCCCTATCCTTAGTCCCCTATCCTAAGTTGTGTTAAAGTAAACTGAAGATTTCTGCAATTAAATCCTGTTTCAACTTGATTTTCAGCCACCCATGACAGTTTGTATCTACTGAATCATATTTTGGGAACAAATATTTAATCTAAATTATTTGCAAACCTGACAAATCTCCTTGTAAATCTCCCAAAAAATCCTTTGATGTCCTCATTTGTGTAAACCATATAAAAACGTAGTTAATTTTTGTTGTTGTTGTTGTAAAAATGCAGAAAGTTTTATGTTAGGTGTTTATAACTAGCTCCATATAAAACCACTAGAAGTATGTCCCCATTTAGACAGTAAATGTGTGCGTTTCAACCAAGACACCTGTGCTGGTGCTCTTCCAGACGTTCTCACCAGTGTTTAATAATTACACAGAACTGAGTGAAATAGTCCAATGACAAATTAGATACTGTAAGTGCTAACTGTGTCAAAAGAAATAAACATCGGTAAACAGAGTTTCTTAATTGCCTTATTTGTTAATTTGTTAATTTTAGGTTTAGACATAATTGAATACATTCAGATTTGTTATTTTAAAGGTGAGCTAAAAATCAACATTATTGATTTACTGCTTATTTTTCAGCTAGGTTACAGTCAAAACAAGTGATACAAATAACTAACAAAAAAAACCATTCAGACATGTCTGTTCACTGTTCAGCACCAGTTCAGAATTACATTAAAGTAAAAGCAGTGTTTTCATAACCATTCCTGGATTCTGTGACATTTCATTTTTTTTGTGAATTATTATTATTATTATTATTATTATTACAGTTTGTGTTCACAAATGTTTGGCTGATGAGCACTTTATATGAGGAGAGAATGACCTCAGCAAGAACTGGCATAGTTGGTTATTTAATACAATTATTTGTACTAGTATGTGCCACAGCAGGTTGATTACTGCATAAATAATGTAGGCACACTGATTAAGAATGAAATTAAGAATGAAAATATTATGATACAAAATACATTAATCATGTAATATTAATGTTATGTTGTATCGTGTTTATGCAACTAATAATTTCTTGTATTCACAATCTTCTTATATATATATATATATACAGTATATATACAGTATATATACAGTATATATATATATATATATATATATATATATATGGTTCTGTTCTGGGCAAGAATGCAGCCTAGCATGATAAGAGCAGGGAGAGCAGCAATGTTATATGTTATACAGAACAGAACCAACATGTATTGCAGATAACATTAATTAATTTTAATGTACCATAGAAGCTTATACATAATTGTTGGAGCTTATATATGTATACAGTGATAGGCGTCGTATTCCTATAGGTAGACGTGGATCAGCTGAGAGTCAACTGATGTTAGCTTGATTAACGGGACCTGCGAGAACTGAGACTACGCTTTATTTATTTCCATCTGATGGGATTATCTTCCTCTATAGTAGGACCAGACAGTAGAATATACATTACTGTTTAAAAATTCCAGGTCAGAGTTTTTTTTTTTTTTTTTTTTTACTTTTATTCAGCAAGGACACATTAAATTGATAAGAAATTAGTACATAAACAAATGCTGTTTTTTTTTTTTTTTTCTGTTCATCAAAGAATCCTGAAGAAAAATACATCAATACTTTTAATATGTGACACTGCAGAATGTAGTAATGGTTGCTGAAAATTCAGATTTGCCATCACAGGAATAAATAACTTTTTAAAATATATTAAATTCCGTTATTTTGAATTGCAATAATTATTTTCACATTAATAATAGTTTTTACTGTATTTTTGATCAAATAAATGCAGGATATTCTCTCATTATTTTTTATTCATTGCCTAATGATGTCATATCAGCACAAAATTCTATAAATATAATGCGGTCATGTCCACTTTTAAAAAAAAAATCCAAAAAAACAATAGAATTCAAACTAAAATGTGCTTAGTTATTTATGTATTTGCAAAAACTAGACTGGAGGTGTTGCTATTATTTCATTTCCGGCCTGACCTATTCAAAATGCTTTCCGCAGTCCATGTGTCAACACTATGCTCTGTAAACTGTATTGTTTTACTTGCACTCATATCATCCCTCTTTCTCTCCCATCATTCAACAGGTGTTTCGCAGCGGAGAGGGTATGGGTATTCGTCTAGACAGTGCATCTGCATTTCCGGGGGCTATCATTTCCCCTCACTATGACTCACTGCTTGTTAAAGTCATAGCCAGTGGCAAAGACCTCCCCACCGCCGCAACCAAAATGCACAGAGCGTTAACCGAGTTCAGAGTTCGTGGTGTTAAGGTAGGTGCAATACTGATCTTTTCAGCACCCCTGAGAGTCCCTTGTTGTCTTGGTACCTGATTTTTTATGCTGTAACATATTTTATTTTCATTGATGACCATTCAAAAGTAGTCATGTCTGAATGGGAATGCTTAATAATAGCTTTCTCCAGGAATTGCAAGACTATATGTTGAAATGTTGGACAATATATTTCACCTTTAACAAATGCTTTGTTTTATCTCATGAATTTTGTGATGAATGCAATGATTTTATGTTTACCTGTATGTATCAACTTTAAGGCCCCCTGACTTCTAAAAACCTATTTTGTATCAGATGAGGCCTTTGACAGTGTCGCTGTTTCAAAAATCCACAGAAGCTCACAGGATCAGAGGGTTCCTAAGACATAAAGGAACCTTTTTTTATAGAGATCTAACATAGACTCAACCAACAGTAGTCAACAGCATACAGATATTTCAGAGGAAAGAGATTTTTATTTTTATTTTTTTTTTTAAATAGGGTACATTAAAGAGGTGTGTTTGTCCATTCCAAAAGCAAAAATATGTGTAAGGTCACAAGATCAAAGCCAATCAGAACATATTTGAATTATAAAATGTGGAACAGGATTTGAGCGTATTTAAGTTGCTCTCAGTATGTTGATATTATTAATAACAATGGCTTGGTGACTCATTTATTAGTCACTGTTGTTGTTGTGGTTGTTAGTATTGCAGTCATGCCTGTTTATCAAATGCACAGCATTTTGCGTAATAGCCTAAACTCTCAGTCAGCTGTCATATTTCAGTGTCATGAATCTCTTGAAATTATCAAGATTAGCATGCAATTACATGCACATCATAATACCAGTTGTCCCCTCTACTCTTGGGACAGAGTTTTTACAATTATATTGTATTGTATATATACTGCTAACATTCAAGCAATTACTAAAGCACTTTTTATTTGTATTATTTTAAGTGGTGGGTAGTAACGAAGTACATTAACTTCATTACATTTACTTGAGTATTATTTTTTGAAAGGAAGAGTAGATTTAAATGTGGGTACTTTTACTTAAGTACATTTCTAATGAAATAAATTATTTTACTTCTTTACATTTGGCGACGTTCCTCTCTTTACTTTATTTTAACACAATACATGTTGTTAAATGCGTAGTTTATTCCAAGTGTGCTGTATCTTTTTTTTTATGAGCATGAGTGATGGTCAATTCACAAATGAATCTCTCTTTTGAGTCGATTCTGTTCAAAGACTTCATAAAACAAGTTGGCAGATCTGTCTAAATCGCTTTGTGAACCAGTTTGAATGATCTGTTCAGTTTCCTGCACGCACTGAATCGTCTGAAGCGCTTTCAATATACAATCGACTCGGAGTCGTAACAGGAAGAACATTGGATTATTTAATTTCATTCAGGTAATACATTTTACAACCAAACAGATTATTATGCCTCAATAGCACTACTACAAAGTATGACATTATCCGATTTTTGGACATATACATTAATTTATAGGCTACATTAAATAAGCTATCATTGCCCACAGTTTATGAAAGTACTTGTACTTTTACTTGAGTACAGTTTTTGGATACTCTATACCCACCATTTTTATATAGTTGACTCAGTAACTGTGTTCTTTTAGTGCCCAAAATGGCCATATTTCAGATTCCCAATTTTTACAGTAGTGATACCTTAATAGCAGAGCTAAGCGAGTTTCACCAGATGATCAGACACCATCCAATTAGCCAGAATGAATTCTTCTGAATGCAGTATTTCACCAGTAGAACCTCGTCTAGCACTTGTAATGTTTGTGGACAAGATGTCTGAACACCAGATCATACTGACGTGAAAAGTGTTGTAACAAATAAAGACAGGAGTGTGTGTGCATGAAGAGGGGAGTGAATGGACATAAGGAGGAGGAGAGAAAGAGGTGGGGAGTGTATGGGGTGGCAGAACGGCAAAAGAGCAATGCAGTGGGAGAGATGGTAACTGTAAATGGCATGTGAGATGGTAGTGCCCATAGCAACTGTCACCAACAAGCATGTCTCTTTAAGAAGATGCTCTGTTTGCAGTGTTTTTTTCACATTTGGGAGAGAAAGAGAAAGACCTGCCAATGCCAAACCTGAAAACCACCTCCACGCAATGCAGTCAGCCCAGAGCTTTAACGGCCACTGCACACTGCTAAAAAAAAAAATGAAATGCATATAGGTTATGTCATCAGCATTAAGTAAGCTAAATGAATGACAATAGTATGCAAGTGTATTCAAATTTATTTGATGTTAGTTTGTGATATCTAAGGAACAGAGTACTCTATTATAGAAACTTTAGAATAATACTTTTGGACAAAGAGAATGAATCCGATTTATAGATACAAATTTTGGATTCCAAATAAAAACCTGACAAAGCTGTGCCTTGATACCAAAAGTTTAAACTATGTAACAAGCATACAGTAATAAAGTACTTACAATTCATATTCAAACTTTTACTTATATACTTATAATTAATATCATTTACAAAATGTAGTCTCCACATTATGTTGTATATTAATTAAAACACAAAACACATACATTTTGTTACATACTGTACCTAAAATCACTGTAGGATAAACTTACAGCTAATGAATCAGACTATTTAAATTTTGAACAAGCAATCTCATTGGCTACAGGATCAGCTGAGGCCAATCAGCTTATGCTATGTGGTAATGATGTGATTGATGACAGATTGCATGTAAAGCACTGAAATATGTAGGTATACACATTATTGATTTTAAACCAGTTGTGAAGGAGTTGTTAGTGGTTCATAAAAACATTGAACATGTATTAATAGTAAAGGACCATAAAGAAATGTGAATTGAATTGTGAACATAAAGTGAATTGATGAACAGTTTTGCTTGAAAACATTTTTGCAATTAATGTCTTATAAAGGTAGGTTTAAAGCACCCATTTACAGGCAAGTTAGTATTTTTTGTAACCTAATCTAAAGTTAGAGCTATTTACTTAGAGAATAACTATTAACAAATAATGTACTACTGGTTTAAATTTATGTAGCCTACATTTATTTTTTACAATTAAAATTAAATAAATAAAAGAATAATTAAAATAAAATCATACTCTATACATATGGAAAAAGAGCGGCAACATTAGTTTTCAGCGAGAATGACAATGACCGAAAAACAAGTTGGATTTGCAGTTTTCATTTTGGGCCAATATGTTGAATGTTGGGGTAAAATCATAACCTATTTATTGGATTGTTATATTTTGTATTGCTCAAAATGCTAGAGGGAAATGCTGGTATCACGTTTTTAACTTGGTACTGAACTTTTGTCAACTTAATACATACAAAATAGCACCATGATCCTTAACCCAACATCCACATGGTTCACACTCTTCAGAAAGTCAACCTACAAATGGCTTCATTATAGTTGTCTCTGCACATTACACTGGCATAGGAGAAAGTGTTTTAACACTGATAAAAGATACACTTCACCTTGAAAGCATGAAAATATTACATAATAAATCATCACATTTTGAGCAGAAATTCACTTTGCGTATGTGCCACATCTGATATGATCTGATCAACTGTGCCTTTAGGGTTTTCTGTACAAATGAAAGTTGCTGAAGTCTTCTTTAGATGTACCCACAAAAAGTGCAAAATTGAAAAAAAATGCTTCTTTTTTTCTGGGAGAGGAGATATGGAGAGAGTTAAGACGGCAGCATGTGAAAGAAAGAGATATGCTGAAGTAGCAGTCTAAATACTTGAAAATGTTTCCTTGCTGAAAGCTTGTCTTTCTTGGTTTTGATGTGACTTGTTTGTTTGCAGGATTTTTTTTTTTTTTTTTTTTTCTCAGAGATGTTGTTTTGGTTGAAACATGATTGCAAGGACAAGAGGATGAGTGCAGGAGAGAAAGAGGAATAACAAGATAAAGGAAAGAGAGTAGAAGTGTTTGGTAAAGTGGTTCTTTGAAGGTAGGCCATTCAGGAAGCATTAAATCAAAGGCAAATGGTCTTCTGATGTGCCTCACACCTTCTCAGTGTCTTTCCTTTTTATTCTCGTTCTATTCCTCCTGGCTTGTTTTCCATCTAACTTCCATCTAACCATTTTTCCATTGCATCTAATAATCTCTTTTGTCCATTATCTCCCTTCACTGGTATCTGGAGACTCTTTATGAACACAGAAGTGAACTTTGGAGATAGAATAATATCAGACTGCAGTGTATAATAATAACACAGACTCATGGAAAGTTAGGCAGCTTTATCTGTGCTTGAAGTGCTTATCTGTGCTGAGAAAATGAACTGTAGAAAAACATTCCCATGAAATAGATCAGTAGTATCACTTGAGCTTAAAGGGCTAGTTTCCCCAGAAATGAAAATTCTGTCATAATTTCCCAGAGTATGTGAGCCAAGCGGAGCAACAGCAATTCTCTCTGTCTCTCACTCAATCTTATCGCTCATATTTTATGCTCATGATGAAGCAGTATCGGAGCGATCTTGGAGCGAATGAGAACACGACTCTGCTCCCAGGCTAAATCATGGCCACTCTGGAGCGCTCACATGTTCTATCATTTACATTTACATTTAGTCATTTAACAGATGCTTCTATCCAAAGCGACTTATCTGAGGACTAAAACAAACAAGTCATCGTGAAGAGACAATAACAACATAAGAAGTGCTCAAAATACAAAGTTCAAACATTGCTCAGAGTAGCATAAACCAGGCAAGTGAGGATTTTTATTTTTTTTATGTTAAGTGCTCACGGAAGAGATAAGTTTCAGTTGACTTTTGAATGCTGTCAGGGATTCTGCGTTCTGGATGATGATGGGCAGATCATTCCACCAGCATGGAACCGTGAATGAGAATGTTCTGGAGAGTTATTTTGTGGCTCTTTGTGATGGAACCACGTGCCGTCGCTCATTGATCGATCGTAGGCTTCTGGTTGGGATGTAGACTCGTAGGAGCGAGTGAAAGTAGGAGGGAGCTGAGCCAGTGGTCGATCTGTAAGCAAGTGTCATCGCCTTGAACTT